CGCCTGGGAAACACTGGACTATGGTATAAAAAAATTCAACTGTATAACAGTTTCACTGCAATTCATGTTATAATGTTAGAATTAAATAACAATAAAATAATACATATGCACTTATCTGTACATAGTAAAAGCAGTTATTTTTAAGCGGTTGTTGATATCCTATCTAAAACGTGATTTAGCCAAAAAAAAAAAACAACAACACATGAGAGCATGTTCTAGTACACCCCCAAAACAAATTCAAGACATTGTAAAAGAGCATAATAGGACCCCTTTAAGGTTGAACCACTGATGTCAAATGGACTATTTTATCGATGTCCTTACTACTTTTCTGGGCCTTGAAAGTGGTAGTTCCGCTGCTGTCTATGCAGGGTCAGAAAGCTCTCGGGTTTCATCCAAAATATCTTAATTTGTGTTTCAAAGATGAACAAAGGTTTTACGGGTTTGGAATGACATGATGGTGAGTAATTAATGACAGAATTTTCATTTTTGGGTGAACTATCCCTTTAATAAATACATTTAATTTAAATTCATTTTAATAAAGAATCTAATAAATAAATTATCTAATTATCTAAATCTAATCTAAATGTATAAATATAATTACAAAATAAAAATAAATAAATAGTTTGAACTCTGGAGGCTGTTTTAAACAATAGGCACCACAATTGCTGACCTCTAAGATGCCTCATTGTTACTAAATAAGGAAGCATTACATTTATCCAGTCAAGTTTCTAGGCAGCTCAATAGGTTTTTGGAACAGAGCTTATGTCTGGCTTCTTCACAGTTTTGTTTGTTATGGTGCATCTTCCATTTCCATTGGAAACTATGGACATGTCACCCATAATATTCAAATTATTCTTTGACCAATATGTGTATTACAATGGTTCATTTTTAAATTACTATTATATTTGGTCCCTCTCAATCCAGAATGTGGTTACATCCTTGTCAGAAACAGACTACAAACAGCTCTCCTCCAAAAACAGACGCACACTCCTCCAGGGTCTTTCTGAAGGAAATTTATTGACAGCCTGCACTTGTTTTCCCCAGTCAGGATGCAAAAAATGTATCAGAAAACATATGTAGAATTAAATCAAGGTCATTTTCCTGAGGCACGGTTTGATTAAACATGAAGAACACATCGACTTATGCACAGCTTACTTACGCTGATGACAACAATAGTCATGCACTACAGATAAACAGTGAATTACTTGGCCCTAACATCTTTGTGACTCATTAATCAGAAGGTTTAGACTTCACCCTAATCTAGTTAGTATGTATAAAACTGATTACAGACTCCAGCGGCTGTAACTAGCCTACAAATAACCTAATGAGAGATGATGTGAAGATGAAAACAGCCTGACAACACCCAGGGTTCACCTTTCTGGGTCTCTTTCCAACCTCAGAGACAGTTAGCTTTCATCTGAAGATGTAACAATTGTTTTGAGAGCTGTGACATTTCAAAAAACCTCAGTTTGAGTATGCGATGCATTAGTTCATACTATAACCTGTAAGTTCCAAAGAAAACCGAGACATTTTATTATTCCAGCATTGACTTTTTATGGCTATGCAAGTAAGTAATGCAAAGAGTAAAGGATGCTGAAAATTCAGCTTTGCCATCAGAAGAATAAATGCATTTTAAAATATATTAAAATAGAAAACAGTTATTTTAAATTGTAATAATATTTCAAAATATTACTGATTTATTTTTGATCAAACTTCCAATGTTCTAAAGAGGGGTTATTTCCATTTTGGAGTATAAAAAGAGGAAATAAGGAAACTCCAGTGGTTGGGATGACAGACATACTCATGATATTATATTTCAGTCTCAGAAAATATGATTAGCTAACATATGAATATGAAACCTTCCTTGATTATATCTGGAAATCAGTAGCCGTTCAATCAGTAATGACTGACATGATGAATCCAACACTTGCACAGCAGTATGATCTAAAATGGAAATCCAGGACTAAAACCTCGAATGAACCAGACACCATCAGCCTGGGAATTGAGCAACCTGGACGCCTGCCTCAGTTTCTCTCACGTCAGTGAATCCGGTGGCCTTCTCGTCACTTCGAGCAAGTTACACCACCTCCCGTTGGTCAGTGTCCATGAGCAACATGACTCAGACCTTCTACGTCTGCCCTGAGTCTTACACCCCGGAATTTATTACACCCGACAGCCTCTACGGTTTCACTATATATAAAAATAAAAAGGATGCTTCTCAAAGTTGCTTCACAGTTATGTGGGAGGTGGTGTGGGAACGAGTGTCACATTCCCCGGGAACTCTGACTAATCCTACAAAAACCATGACAATCGCAAGTCCTTAATGTGGCGGACTGTGTAAAGAGACACTGAGCTTATACTCTGAGGTGTTTACCACTTTACAACAGACATACTGGCGTGAGTACAATGCGCTGGGTGTAAATATAGACAATCTTCAGTTACATGTTACCATTAATGATGAGAAAGAGGCAGTTATGCACCCAAATAGTAATTTTAGAGCACGTATAAAAATAGATCAGAGAACATACAGTTTTAAACTAGTGTTGATCCGATAGCTGTTGGGTGTGATTTTCAAATTAAACTAGAGAACAGAATAACAGCCAAGTTATTCCCGCCAAGAAGTTAAGATGTGTTGGATATATATTATTTAAAATTGTGTGAAATATTGTGAAATATTTTACCACTTTAAAATAATGGTTTTCCAATAATAATATATTTTAAAATGTCTTTTATTCTTACTTTGTATTCTTACATCGTTACTCTTTAGTGTCGCATGATCCTTCAGACATTATTTTAATATGCTGATTGCTGAAACATTTCTTAATATTATCAATGTTAAAAACAGTTTATATGCTTAATATTTTTGGTGAATCCAAGATACATTACATTCAGGACTCTTTGATGACTAGAAAGCTCAACAAAAAAGCATTTATTGGAAACAGAAATATATTTTTTTAATATTATAATTGCCTTTACTGTCACTTATGATCCATTAAATGCATTCTTGCTGAAAAAAAGTAATAATTTCTTTTCATAAAAAAAAGAATTAAATACTACTAAACCCAAACTTTTGAATGGTGGTGTATATGGCAATAACATGTAATTACTTTGGTTAGGGGAAAAACACAACATTTTGAGAAAACATTTATTTTGACAAGATTTCTAATCAAAACAAATCACTGCCCATCCTGTTAGATTTTTGTGAAATCCCTTTATGCTTAATAACATTATGCTACAGGAAGTGACGCCATTTTGGTGGGAAAACAACAAACAAACATCAATAAGCACTAGCAATAGATTTTATTGTTTGTATGTGCTGTTACTATGTTTGTTTAACTTTAAAACATTCAATCCAGTTTGATAAAATTACAGGTATCACTATGATTAAAGGGGTTATATGATGTTGCTAAAAAGAACATTATGTTGTGTATTTGGTGTATTGAAATGTGTTTATGCGGTTTAAGGTTAAAAAAAACACATTCTTTTCCACATACTGTACATTATTGTTTCTCCTCTATGCCCCGCCTTTCTGAAACGCATCGATTTTTACAAAGCTCATTGTTCTGAAAACCGAGTTGTGTTCTGATTGGCCAGCTATCCAGTGCGTTGTGATTGGCTGAATACCTCAAGCGTGTGACGGAAATGTTACGCCCCTTATTCAAAAGATGGCTAAAAATATCCACATTAACCATTAAAAATATCAAAATTAAATATTAAAATTGACACCCTCGTGCAAGCCAACTCTCAATGCCTTACTAATTTTAGCATCCTGTTAATGTCTTTGTGTAAACAATCACATCTGACCAAAGCATGATTATGAAAGTCTGCTACATCTTTTTGAGGAAATACTTTCTTAAAATTACAACACGAGCATATCATCATTTAATCTTTTTACAGAGTTCAAAAGAGTGCTGCATAACAACAATGAAGCATTAAAAATTGGGATTATAATAAAATCTTGGGATTATATCAATCTGCTGTCTCTTTTGTCTTAATATTAATAATTCCTGAAATGTTTTCAAGCATTTCTTGGAAACCTTGATGCAAATGAGCCAGTCAAATGATGGAACGTACGAACGATGTTAACAGAGAGCACATATGGAACCACAGAGGTGAAGGACTGAGCTTGAATCAATCAGACAAACATAAAGCTGTCCAGCCAAGATTTTCCATTGCCAAGTGCTATCGCTGTTGACCTTCTGTTGAAGTGAGACTAAAGTGGATTCAGTTCAGCAAGTCAGAATGGTCTGGGGGGGATGATAGTCTGAACACCTGACTGCGACAACTAAAACTTCCGTCCAGTCTGATCACATTTCAGACAGAGGCCATCAACACATAGGGCACACTAAGGTTTCAATGCACAACTACAAAGCTGAGCTTTGAGGCTTGTGTTGAATACGAGTGCAAAAAGTCTCCTGAACACTGTATAAACATTAAAGGTTTAATTTTTTCATATCAGAAGTGCCTGGCTCCCGTTATGTGCTCTGGATCAACTTGTTTGGACCTCGAAGTAAACAATAAAGACTCTGATTATGAAACGCACCATACTGTCATGCAACATGCACTAAGATGAAGTTCTCCTCTCACAGAATTGAGAAACTAAATAATTATTTTATTAAACCTAAAATAATCATTCATCTTAGCCAAAGTGACTGTCAGTACTCTTCTGGAGAAACCTGATGTTAAAGTTCTGTCATCATTTACTCACCTTTATGTCGTTCCAAACCTTTATTACTTTTTTGCTTTCTTCAATGAAATGCAAACTAATATTTTGCAGAAGCCAATATAATGAAAGTCAATGAGGACTGAAGCGATCAAGATAAAAAAAAAATGACAAAAAAGGGAGCATAAAACTAATCCATATGACTTGTAAACTATATTCCAAATCTACAATATGATTGTTTCGTTTGGAAACAGGACGACATTTTTATTTTATGTACTGAAAATTTCAATTGTGGCTCTGAAATGTCATTTATGTAGGGTGACCATACGTCCTCTTTTTCATGGACATGTCCTGCCCGGGATTTCTAAATTGCCTAAAATGTCTAAAATTTGCGTAGGTCCCACCTTCTCGCATGCAACGATTAGTCGATTATGTATAATGCCAGCGTTCTATTGGTAAAACTTCTTTTCAGTCATGACTTTCAGCAAGCATGAAAACAATACGAAAAAAAAAGACAAAACCTGGACAATTTAGGCAGTTTAGAAAACCTGTCCAGAACAAGTGGAAGTATGGTCACCCTAGCTTACACACATTCAAAAATCATAGCACGTTTGATTCTACAAATCTACAAATTCTACAAGACATGCAAGAACCAATGATGTTTGACTTCACTGGCATCAAACCTGAGGCAGCACATTTTGATATTTAAGTTTGAATATGTGTGTTGTTGCAGGTTTGCAAAGATATTAGGGCGAGTAAATGATAACAGCATTTTATTTTGGGGTGAGCTGTCCCTTTAAATGCCTTGCTCGAAGAAACAATGGTGATGGTTCATGGGTCACCTGTTCTCTGCTGAAAAGACCAACTTAGGCCAGCATGAATTTCCATGGTTTGGTGCTTGTCTAGCTGGTTAACCAGTATAACCAGCAGAAAACATTGTTTAACCAGCATGGTCCTTCTAATGAAGCTGGTTGACCAACGGAGGCTTTGTTGAGGCTAAAAACAGTTAAAAAAAATAGTACAGACATCAGCATCCTAACATCTAAAACTACACCTCCTGGTCTTTTCAACAGGGTTGAAGGGTTTGGACACACCATCTATAACCACTACACCACATCACCCCAAGAAACTGCTATTTGTTCAGCATGGTGGACCAGAAAGCATCAGATATGATCTGTCCCGATCTATGGCAAAATACAGCACATTATGCGAAATGTAACCACAATTAGATGAGTTACCACAGCAACATGCATGAACTGTCACTTAGGAAAGACATACATTGTTGCATCAGCTGGGACTCAAAGCAACAGTGATAGATACAAAAATAGCTGACATATTACGAGCTCAACTGTTTAATGAACTATTAAACCACATCAGTTACGACAGAAACGACAACCTACAATTCATCAGATCGGATACTGTCGAATGAAACATAAAAAAGACTGTGTAAGTGTATATAATGCTTACCAAACGATCCGATCTACTGTCTTCCTTATGCCATTCACGCCCAGCAAATCAACTGCCCCCAGAAAGGCTCTTTAAACCTGCTGCCTAAAGTTACCAGAAAGGACGTGAATCCTGCGCTTTATTGTGAACCATATCCTGTATTTACCTTCACAAATACACACTTTTGAATTAAATATAACTAAACGGCACCCGTTACGCAATGCGAGGACGAAATGCCGCTTAATCTCGCGCTGAGGGTGTTTATAGTGGGGTAGGTTGCCGCTCCGCAAGCTGCTGCCATGAAAGATAGCGGCGTTCGTTTTCGGGAATGCGCGTGAAGCGGTGGATTTTACGCATACGGCGTAGTGTCATGACGTCATGACGTTTCTATCATATGGGTCCGTTATGTCTAGCTTTTGTTTATGAGACGTTATTTACCTTTACTGTATTTAATATGTAAGTATTTAGTTCATTATTATTTATTATTTACCTGATAACATTTTATCATTAAAATATTAAAATATCATTATAAACTTATGTTCACGTTTTCATTTTTATTTTAAATATTCATGTCGTTTTAAAACGCTTTTGCATCTCGTTTGAGATTTTTGCTTTGCCCAATGCGACCCAAATTATCACAAAAAATTGAATTACAATAAATAAATAAATAAATATACTGAGGCCTTTTTAAAGTCGAGAATAGTGACATAAAATGTGACCCTGGATCACAAAACCAGTCATAAGGGTCAATTAAAAATATATATATATATATTGAGAAAGTCACCTTTAAAGTTGTCCAAATGAAGTTCTTAGCAATACATATTACTAATCAAAAATTAAGTTTTGATATATTTACGGTAGGAAATTTACAACAACAAAAAAAATCTTCATGGAACATGATCTTTACTTAATATCCTAATGATTTTTGGCATAAAAGAAAAATAATTAATTTTGACCCATACAATGTTTTTTTGGCTATTGCTACAAATATACCCCAATGACTTAAGACACATATATAGGCTACTGTTACACAAATATAAATAATTGCCTGCAATTTATTTGGGTATTTCACAATCCTATGTTGAAATGATGTGTATCTGCATATCTTTAAAATTGAAAAGCAAAGCTTTACATGCAAGATCAAGGGAAGAGAAGTTTCTGAATAGTTATGTATATTGTTCAATGTTCAATTCATAGATGTACAAACACCTCAACTAATAAATGACAAGAAAACAATCACCGCTATCACTGGAAATATACAGCCGACTCTACAAATCATGTCTTCACAAATCTACTCAATCTGAATGCAATTTTAGGGCAAAATACTATTTACACTCACTGACTTTAACTTTGCATGTTTAAAAGTGCAAGATAAAACTGAGTAAGTGAATAAGTGCATTCTGATTTTTCACTTGCTAATAGATGAAAAGGCTTACGGTATCATTTTTCTCCGTGCAGGTTGGAACATGATCCGTTTCACCGTTTATGCTGTTGTCCTGCAGGGTGTTTGATTTTCTTGCACTTGTGCCGTGAGATACGTGGATGTGTACGTGCGGAGGGCCATTTATGGAGTGCACATCTGCAGCATTTGAAACGCGACAAGAAATCTCAGCGTTCGCACAGGGTACCTCCAAAGAAATACTCCTGTGAAGGATGTGATGTGACCCTTTTCTTGAGGACTTATCCGATGTCGGAAAAGTGGCGTGTCTTCTTTCCGTCGACGACGGCCTTCCGCTTGGCAGCATGCAGGCTGAGGTGCTCCGGAAAAGCCTGGCTTTCTGGGGTTCCGGGACGTTGTCGGTTTGTGGGCCCTCGAGAAGTTTGGAACAGTCGATGCTAACCTTTGTTTTGGCCAAACTTCCTTTCCCTGAGGGAAGTGGTCGCTGGCTTGCGAAGTGCAATACAACGCTGGAGTGTCTTTCCGTTCGCTCTGGTCCTGGCGGTTGCTCCGGAGGAACGCTGAAATGCACAATAGGTTTGGCGTCCCTGTGTTCTGCTGACGTACTGGTTTTGGAGAGCCGCAGACCATTAACTGCAGTGGCGACGGATCCCTTGGATGTTTCATCGTGCGACGCATCAACGCTGGACAGCTGCATCTGATGTGAGGTCTGAAAGGAACTTCGCGCAGATGGAGGCAGCGGAGGAATCATGGGAGACACTACCGGACTGACGGGGGACGCGGGCGGCGTGGTGCATGGGCTCCGTGGGAAAATCACCAAGGATGAGCAACGCCGCAATGGTGCCCTCGCCTTCCGCCGAGAGATCGGCTTGCGATCTGGGACGTCCGCTTCAAATATGCTGTTGCTGCTGCAGTAGCCGGCATCGCTCGTGGTGCTGCTGCTGCAGGAACCTCCATCCCCGTTTCCGCTCTCACAGCTGGCGAGCTCTCCATCTCCTCCGCAAGGCTGCAAGGAGATCTGCAGCATGCTTTTCCTGCTCACGTTCACCTTGGGGATAAATACAGTGGAGTGCCGCTGTAAATTACCGTACTCTGGTGACAAGGGTGGCAAAGCCAGAGCCAGCTGTCCTGGAGTCACCTTCATGTGGAGGGAACTCTGCACCAGGCCCTCGCTAGAGCTACGGCCAGTATTTGTAAACCCGCTTTCCTCGGAGCGACCGGTGCAAGTCTCTGACAGCGGGTCGGTGTTGCTTCTCCGCGAAGCAAAATGCAGTCGCAGTTGTCGCGCCATGAAGTCAAGCTTCCCGGGGATCCGGTGGGACGCGGGACATGGCAAAGCCAAAACAAGAAAGTAAAAAATGACCAGCAAAAAGCAACTGCTCCTGGTCCCGTTCTGCGATTGCAACCATTAGCGGTTGCACATTGCAAAAATAGCAGCAGTGACACGTGGCATTCCTCTCGAAGCTCCTCTGAAGCTAACACCATGAAGAACAGCTCTAGTCCTCGGAAGGATAACGGCGAATTCAGAGAGCTTTACAGACGCAACTGCTCCAGAAACCCTGCAAAGGGCTGTACTGTGCCAGACCTCTGGAGTGCCTCAGCTGTGCCTTCTGTAGTTTCGCAAGCGCCGATTCAAGCACGGGTGCCCTCCCTCCCCCAGCTGCCGGTCACCCCAGAGCAAAAAACAACAATCTGCGTGCATGCCAGGATGGAGGTGGAACAGCTCGCCCCTGTTCTAGCCAACCTCGACTCTGCAACCTCCTTCTACAGCAGTGGCGGCCCAGTGTCTAAAGTTTCTTATAAAGCTGCACCCCTGCTAATATTTTTACCCCAACAGGATAGAGTTACAGAAAATAAAGAGGAACAAGGTTTGGCATCATTTAAAGCTTTCTCAACATCATCCTCGTACAGTGCTTTGGAGATACGTGGGGAACAGGGTGTTACGAAGTGAGCGTTTGGCTTATTTCTGTACTTCTAACCATGCACGGCTTAAATGCATGATAGCTTCATCTACAAATTTGAAAGCAGCAGACGGAATCAAGCCTGTTTGTGCCAAAAGAGTGCCTCCAAATCGAATATTGAGCTTGTTGTGCCAGCTCACATATGGACATGTGCCACATCACGTGTCATCTGACACCCGCTGTTGCAGCCATTTAAGACCATGCTTCTGTCAAAGAGAAATGCCATCTCATCAATCAGGGGCAATTGCAGTTACCACAGTGCACAGAATCAGTACAGGAAATCATCCTGCTTACATGAATGAAAATTAAATATAAATCAGCCTGAATCAGGGATTTTTGCATTTTGTGCACTTGGAAATGAACAAAGTGTTAGGATTCTGGAATTCTAAAAAAAAAAAGAATGGGGTAATTGCATGCATTTCAAATCGTAATGCAGTATCAGAGAGACTGAATCAGGGATTTCTGCATTTCGTGCACTTGGAAATGAACAAAGTTTTAGGATTTTGCAAGTCTAAAACAAAGAATGGGGTAATTGCTTGCATTTCAAATCGCAATGCAATATAAGTGAGACTGCATTTTGTGTGCCTGGAAATAAAGTTTTAGGATTTTAGAATTCTAAAACAAAGACTAGGCTAATTGCATGCATTTCAAATGAAAATGAAGTGAGATTGATCACAGAAGAAACATTATCTACTGTCACAAGCCTAGAAATGTTTTGCACAAAAAGAGATCTGAAAGGATTTGTCATCCTTTCTGTAAGCTACCACATTCCTCAGGAGACACAAATAGCGTGCATGCTTGGTTCATGCCAGCGAACACATTCTAGCAATGACATACCAGTTTTTCTTACAACCAGTAACCGGGTTAACCTATCTGTCACTTGCAGGAGGGCGACTGCGGTTTATTGTCTTATCAAGAGCTACTGTTCTTACTTGAACACTGGGTCTTTTATGCAAGCATTTTATTAACCTTCCTCATTATTCAGGGAGGACGCAGTCAGCGTGTGACGGAGAGAACCCCCCTAACACCGGTCACGCCTCATTCACTTTTATGCGTTTTAGAGCAGTTACTTTTCACGTTTAACAACACCCAAAGGTACATTTAAGTTCCCAGACCTGAGCTTTAAGGTGGCTACTTGCAAAAAGGCATCCATGTTCATTTATTACACATTGACGCTTAGGTAGCTGCTGATTTTACAGACCTGAACCCAACACTAACAAGCCGAATATATTTGAGACTGCTGAACTGTGTAAGGTTTCATTACCATCTAACACGTCTACCATTGTAAAGCCAAACAAGCAGTCCTGCCTCAATCTAATGGTCTAATGGTAGTTAAGTCAATATTTCTTTATCAGGCAACTCAAAAAAAAAAGCAGATTGCAATGCCATTTGGTGCCACTATGGGTGCAGAACTTATACATAACTCTAATTTTGATACTTCAATAGCAGACCGGACAAAGAATATATTTCACAACCTAAAAATAAAAATAAAACATTTTTTATTTATATTTTTATTCAGCAGAGGATGCATTGAATTAAAGACATTTAAAATGTTACAAAAATTTCTGTTTCAAATAAAAGCTGTTCTTTTGGACTATTCATCAAAGAATCCTGAAAAACATTTATCACCGTTTCCACAAAAATATGGTGCAGCACAACTGTTTTCAACATTGATAATAATCAGAAATGTTTCTTGGGCAGCAAATCAGCATATTAGAATGATTTCTGAAGATCATGTGACACTGAAGACTGGAGTAATGATGCTGAAAATTCAGCTTTGATCACAGAAATAAATTACAATTTAAAATATATTAAAATAGAAAACATATCATATTACTAATCAAAAATTAAGTTTTGATATATTTACGGTAGGAAATTTACAAAAAAAAATGTTCATGGAACATGATCTTTACTTAATATCCTAATGATTTTTGGCATAAAAGAAAAA